TTATACTAGCAAAATAGAAATTGAAGTTCTAATTAGTGCCTCGAGAAATAAAATTAAACTAAACTCAATCCCCCGCAATGGCGCCAAAAACTTGTTCACGAAATTATTTCTTTCGATTTAAAACTACCGCAAGTGTACAATTCGTTAACAAGTAATAAAGTGGATTAAATGAGTTCGATTATTGACCCACGGAGATTGATTAGTTCAATTTTACCTATCATCGCCATAATCGAAACTAAATTACTAAAGTGAATGTGAACCTAATTAAAACCCTAATTTTGGAAAGAAAACCCTAATTATGCAATTTTTATGATTGAATTAAATTAAATATGCAAAAAAATATTTTTAATACTCTAGAATGAAATCAAATGTTGAGAATGCACGTTTATTGTAATCAATAGAAATTAAATACACTAGGATCACAATTTCCCATGCAATTATCACTCTAAAACCCTAGTTTCACAATGTGACAATATACTTCAATTGTGACGAATCAATGTTCCTAAATCTATCCAATACTCTCTCTCGAGATGTATCGAACCTATTTCTACATATCACCGGCCTATATGTCTATGACAAGTGCATATATAAAAATGCATGTTGTTTTATGAATACTTAAAGATTCACATAGGGCATAGCGGTATATTTCTATCGCTTATCGGACCCTACAATGATTTATATTATGTCGAACTTATTCCAATTCTCTCGAATGCAAGAATAAATCACTCAAACTCACACAATTACGAGCCCTTAATTGCGGAAACATTAATTGCATATAACTCATTCAAAATAATAGAAATATGTCTTAATGTCAAATTGCAAAACTAGAAAATTAAAGATCAAATTACATGGTACATCAATCTCCTAGCACATGAAAATCTAGTCTAACATGGTTAAAATAAAAGAAAACATCAGATTTTGGATAAAAGGCATCACCGGGTTATGAAATCTTGAGAAATCTTGAAGCTCTTCGTGTAAATCTTCGTTCTTGCGCTCAAAATCCTCTCCAAAAAGTGTTTTCTACCTCCAATACGTTATGCCTCTTTCTGAACGTCTTTTGGTATTTATATCGCGTGAAAATTAGGTTACCAAAAGAGTTTCAGTCGTATAAGGAAACTGTAGAATCGGCCCCCGAATTTGTTCTATGCGACCGCATGGTACATTTCTATGCAGTTGCATAGAGTAAAAAAATTTGAGAAAATATTCTCGGGAAGCCTCTATGCGACTGCATAGAGGGTAGCATAGTGCTACCAAATATGCAAAATCTCTATTTTGGTCCTTGAACTTTCATTTTTCTTCATTTTGGTCCCTTTGCAATTCCTTTTTCTTCCAATCATCTTGTATTGCTTTCGAGTTCATACTTAGTATATTTGCATTCCCAGGTTGCCTTTAGTTCAACTTTTGATTATTTGCATCCTTAGTCCTCGAACTATCACTTTACTACATTTTAGTCCTTTTTCGGCTCGTTTCTCCTAAATTCCACCATTTCCATAGAAACACCTATATTACATGAATTCAATGAGATTAAGTCATAATTTAAATATTTTGCTCGTTATTAATTTATGTTTGTGATCTAAATAAGTGTGCAAAAACACACTCATCATGTGCCATCAGAATAGAGCTCAATCTTACTTTATTTTTCGTCATTCATTTTTTTCCTCCGACACATACATGCAATCACTTGAAGGTCCTGCTTGGATCAGTATTAATAAACTTTTCTTATTTTTAGCATATGCGTGAAAACAAATTTTCTTCTTAAAAGGTAGCTTTCCCATTCAAAACAAAGACGGAATATGCAAATTCTCATAGACTTTTTAGCTTAGATATGTAAACCACGCCTTCTTGTACCCAAGGCTTGTTCACCTTTTATATCTCTATTTTGGCAGAATTCAGTTATTGATATTAGTATTTCGTGAATCATGTTCTATTTGCTAATGCATGTCATCCTGATTGTTTGCGTCTGGTAAAGCTTAAGTTCATGGCTTCTTATAGGACTTCCATTCTCGATCCAGTCGACGGTGGCAATATGCACTGCTTCACAACAAAGAAAGCATGTGTTGCATGCTTGGCCCTCCCTATAATGATCCAAGTGGCCATCATTGCCAGTATTGCTTCCATTTCCAATTTACAATTTTTTTAGGAATAGCACTACTAATTTGGAACCATATGTGTTTGTGCCATGTAGAGTCTTTGAACCTATTACTACGTGCCACCGAAAAAACAAAAATATGATTATCAAAACGATCGAATAAGTGTATATCTAGATTGATGGAAAGAAACAACAAATAAAAAGATGGCTCCCAATTCTTCCAAGTTACGATTGTTTATATGGTTTGTACTCTATAGGCATGTCTCAACTCTTGAGTTCAGAGATTAATTCTATCGTATTACTATAGTGAATTTGATTTTGACGTCTCTCCATTTTACTAACTTAAGTTCATCTTTTGTCATTCAGAAATATGATCATTGTTTTCCTTTCAATTAACAAACACTTTCTTTTTGGTTGACATCAATAATATTTCTCATCACAATCCATGAATCAAACATTTTAATTTTTTAGGGAGAAGTTGAATAAGGTAATAATCAACTGTGTGATAACTTCCAAATATCTTAGATTTAGGTCACTTCGAATCTTTCTCAACTGTAGTAGAGCAATGTGAAGTTTTTTCCTTCACTTTTTTTTTTTGTACAATGTAAATAGCTTACTTTGTTATTTGTTTAGGATCCAACATTGCTCAAATTGCCAAGATTGAGCCTCTTGGGAAAAAAATCTTAAGAGGGGAAGAGCTAGCTGAGGTAAACTTTTTGCATAACTAATTTACATTTTTGTGTTCCACTAATCAAATTAGTTTATTGTAATAGATGATTTTTGGAAGTGCCAAGTCTCTTAAGAGCTATTGTGCTCATCTATTGCTTTCAAAAGATAACACATATTTCACTATTTTAAAGAGTAAAAATTCATTTCTAGTTTATGAAATTAATCTGTTGTTCAGGTATGTTGCAAAGTCTTACATGGATATGTCCAGAACCATTGGTGAATAAAGAGTAATCGGATTTTGATTGATGAAAGCCATGTAAGAGGAGAGCATGACAAAATTTAGCAAACCATTGTCGTGAGGCCTGTTTTAGACCATATATGGACTTATGTAGGTTGCAAACCAACTGCTCTCCCTGTTGGCCTGAAGTGATAGGGGGTTTATAACCCAATGGTAAATCCATATATATTTCTTCAAAGAGATCTCCATGGAGGAAAGCATTATTGACATCCAACTGAATGATGTGCCACCTGTTAATGGCTGCTATGGCCAAATGTAACTTCACAGTCACAAGTTTCGCAACTGGAGAGAAAGTTTCTATAAAGTCCAACCCTTCTTGTTGAGTGTACCCTTTAGCCACTAAGCGTGCTTTGTACCTATCAATACTCCCATCTGATTTATACTTTATTTTGTATACCCATTTGCAGCTAATAGTATGCTTTCCTCTTGGCAAAGTAGTGACAAACCATATATTATTTAACTCCATAGCAGCTAGCTCAGAAGCCATGGCCTCCTTCCAGTGATCATGTCTCACAGCCTGATGATAAAATTGAGGCTCAAGATTGGAGGAAATGTTGAAAAGAAGAGTATTATGAGGCTTAGAGGATTTTGGGTATTGAAGGTAATCACTCAAAGGATAGTGAGATGAGGACTGGGGAATGGGAGAATTAGCTAAAAGACTATAATGAAAATCTTGTAAGTATGATGGAGGTCTGCTAGGTCTAAGTGATCTTCTGAGAGTAGGATAAGCTGGAATGGTAGGTGAGGCTGTGATGGACTCTGATGTTGGAGAGAAAGAAGGAGGAGATATGGTGGGAACATGATCATTAGTTGAACCATGATTTGGAGTATGATGGAGAGGTATATCAGGAGCAGGTTTAGGCAATACAAGGTTAGGAAAATTGTCAATGATCTCATGACTACTTGAGATGGAATGAAAAGGGAAAATACTTTCATGGAATATCACATCTCTGGATATAAAGATGGATTTGGATACAATGTCATACAACTTGTATCCTTTTATGCCAGGGTGATATCTAATGAACACACAAGCCCTTGCTCTAGGATGGAATTTTAGGCGATGAGATGTAAGGGTCAATGCAAAACAAAGGCATCCAAATACTTTGAGAAAATTATAGTCAATTGGAGTTTTGTGCAGTAAGGAAAATGGTGATTGATTTTGGATAACATGTGATGGGGTACGATTGACAAGATAGGTTGCTGTGAGAACACAATCTCCCCAAAACTGAATAGGGACTTGTTACTGGAAGAATAAGGCCCTATTAAGTAAGTGCTGGTGATTTCTCTCAACAACAGAATTTTGTTCAGGCCGTTCAATGCATGAAAATTGATAGAGAACAACCTTTGAGCTAAAGAAGTCTGTGAAATGTAACTTAGGAGCATTATCAGACTTGAAGGCTTTAATTACCTTATTAAATTGTGTTTCAACCAAACTAAAGAACTTAGGAATGATTGCAAGAACATCTGACTTTTGCTTCATGAGATATACCCAAGTGAACCATGTACAATCATCAACCAAAGTGAGAAAATATTTGTGTCCACTACGTGTTGGGGAACTATACGGACCCCAAATGTCACCATGAACAAGATCAAACGCATTGGGGGATAAATGATTGTTTGAGGTAAACGATAATCGTCTTTGTTTAGCAAGGGGGCAGATAGAACATGGGACAACAGCATTACCCTTATCATCCTTAAAATGTAACTGATCCTTCAAACAAGCTAGTCTTTTGAAAGACAAATGACCAAGTCTATTAAGCCAAGTACAAGAATCCACATTATTCATTACAAAGGAATCAGAATTACAGATAGATTTGAAGGTATCACATTCATTTCCCATAGTACTGTCATAGATGTAAAGGCCACCAACACGTTTACCCCTGCCAATCATCTTCAAGTTGCATAGATCTTGAATATCACAACAATCAGTGAGAAACCTGACACTTATAGAGGATTTTCCAGTAAGTGCACTAATGGATAGTTTCCTTGAGACTGATCTGGAATATGACCAGAAATTTGATTAGCAGCAGTAGTATTTGGATGAGGAATATAACCTGTGTGGCTACTTGATCCATCTTTCAGCTTTGACTTGTATCTTGGTGGATATCCATGGAGTTTATAACACTTATCAATCGTATGTCCTCCATATCCACAGTATGTACAAATTGGCCTGTCTTTCTTTTGACTCCTGCCGTGAAATGATTGCCCTGTGCCTGCTCTTTTCACATCATTTCTTGTATAGAAAGCCAAGGAATCAGCAGTTCCAATAGTCAGATTAATGGTTCTTTGATGTTCCTTTTGTGAAATAAGTGTAAACACCTTGTTTATTGGTGGAATTGGATCCATTAGTAATAGTTGCCCTCTCACTCGGGCATAAGAGTTATTCAATCCCATTAGGAATGACATGACGTATCCCATATGGTGATGCTCTGCCAACCTTTTGTTACCCCTACATTCACACTTTCCACAGGAACACGATGGCATGTACTTACTTAATTCTTCCCAAATTGTTTTTAGTTGGTGAAATAAGCACCAACAGATAATTCTCCTTGTGTGTGGTTCATTAATTCGCACCTTGATTGGAAAATTCGAGGACCATTTTTCTGTTGAAATCTCTCCTTGAGATCATTCCAAATCTCTCGAGCAGATTCGGAATATATTATGCTAGCAGAAATCTCCTTTGATACGGAGTTAAGGATCCAAGAGATAACAATATTATTGTTATGGATCCAGGAACTAAGAAGCTTAGTGTTGCCTTCAGGTCAATCGATTGATCCATCAACAAAACCAAACTTATTTTTCACTGATAAAGCTATAGTTATAGCTCAATTCCAGGAAGTATATTTCTCACCTGTTAGTTGCTGCGAAACCAGAATAAGCCCCGGACTATCTGAATGGTGAAGATAGTCCGGACTAGAGACATCATCAATGGCGGAATGGCTCACTGATGAAGATGAAGCTTGATTTACTTGAGTTTGATCAGTAATTTCTGCCATGGTAAATTAGAAGAAATTGCTAAGCTAAAGAAGCCTCAGCTCTGATACCATATTGAAGAAGAAAGAGAATGAAAAAAATGGAATTGTATTTTCTCAACTCGAAAATGTGTCTGATATTTACATTAAATAGAAGAAAGAAAATGGCAGGAAAATATTACAACTAACAGCTAAGCAAAGTAGATAATTTTGGCGCCAAACTAATCCCAATTAGTCTGATACCCTCCGACGGCATCTCCTGGTTTCTTAATCTGTTCAATTAGGTTACCAATTCTGATCACCAAAAAGTTTTTATTAAAGAATTGTAGCCCAACCCTAGGGTAACGATACAAAGTACACACATATACGCCCACCCCCAAACATTATATTGACCCCCGAATTTTATTTCTTGTCTAGTTTTACTACGATGTGTCCTTGCAAGTATCAACTTATCGAAAGTTGAAATAGACCTTGAATTTTGAGAATGAAAATGGATAGCCTCTAAAGAAATTATTGAGCAGGTATTCTGAAATGTCCATTCCTTTCGCATACTTGTTTTACAAAAGATAATCTGTGTAGGAGATGATTTGTGGTAAGTGGTGGACTACGAAAGGCTGAATCCTTATGAGTCAAAACTCACATCTATAGGTTAAAAGATGATCTGAACTTTCTATTTTTCTTTGCCAAACAAAGGTATGCATAGTTGTGTTTTTGGCCTCACAGAGTGTAGCATATTCTTTTCAAGGACTTTATGTTACAGGTTTTACATCTAAACTGTTATAGACAACACAATCTCTTTTTCACGGTTCAATCGAGTAAGTCATCTAAAGCTAATTTTAAAAATTTTGCTATATTATCTTTCAGCCCCATAGGACGTGAAAACTGGAAAGAAGTTTATCCTCCATTTTACTTATGGATGTGACTATGACATGAAGGTAAACTTATATTTCTATTCTGTACATCGTTATAACAAGTTCATTTTATGCTATTCTTATGAATATTTCATTTTCATTTTTTTGAGTTACTGAGAACTGTATACTTCCTCTTTACCCTGCAATGTTTACTAACTTTGTTGAGAACTATGAAGATGTTGATGTTTAGGTTGAACTAACATACGGAAATTTGGAGTGGCGATTTGAGAAAAGATCATTCCTTGATGGACCACCACCTCAAAATCTCTCCTTGCCCCTTCCCGGTGTTCCTAAAAGTGTTGTAGGTGCTGCACTTTTATACCCTTCACACATTATTCAGTTCTTTGGGTTCTATATCTATTTTGTTTTGTTAGTTCCTTCTTCTCCTGTAAAAGAGTTGAAGAACATGCTCTTTATCTTCCAGAATGAAAGAGAACTAGCAATCTACTTGGAGAAGTAAATAAGATTTTCCTTAACCAAATAGCCTGATTTACTGCTGTTGAAGCTGCTATATATTCAGCCTCTACTGTTGATTGTGCCACAACATCTTGCTTCTTTGAATTCCAACAAAATGCTCCAGACCCAAATGTAAATAAATAACCAGAAGTGCTCTTCATGTCATCCATAGAACCAGCCCAATCACTATCTGAATATCCCAATAAATCTGATCCAACTCCTCCTTCAAACTTAATCACATGATTAATGGTACCTCTGATGTATCTGAGGACTCTTTTAGCTGTACCAAAATGCATTTGAGAAGGATTTGTCATGAATCTGGAGAGTAAGCTTGCAGCAAACATTAAATCTGGTCTTGTTGCAGTCAAATATAACAAACTTCCCATAAGACTCCTATATTCCTTCTCATTTGTTGGCTGATTTCCATCTTCTTTTGAGAGCTTCTTATTCATGGCCAATGGAGTGTCTATTGGTTTGCAACTTTGCATATTAAACTTCCTCAACACATCAAAAGCATACTTTTGTTGTGAAATGAAAATTCCATCAGTCTATTGCTCAATTTCAATACCAAGAAAATACTTCATCTGTCCCAAATTTGTCATTTCAAATTCTTTCTCTAATTCATGCGTAAATGAGCCAATTTGCTCCAAATTACTTCCAGTAATGAGCAAATCATCAACATATAAGGAGATGATCAAAATATGGGAGTAGTTATCTGTTCTAACATAGAGTGTATGTTCACTCTCACTCCTTTTAATCCATTTCCACATAGATATCCATCAATTCTACTGTACCAAGCTCTTGGGGCCTGTTTCAAACCATATAAGGCCTTTTTTAGCTTGCACACATAATCTGGATCTGATTTTGAATGAAAACCTTCAGGTTGTTCAACAAACACATCTTCTTCCAGTTCTCCATTGAGAAAAGCTAATTTTATATACAATTGATGTATTTTCCATTTCTTTTGAGCAGCCAAAGCAATCAATAACCTAATTGTGTCATGTCTTGCAGCCGGAGCAAAGGTTTCAAAGTAATCAACACCACTTTCTTGAGTAAACCCTTTAGTTACAAGTCTTGCTTTATACTTGTAGATTGAACCATCAAGATTTACTTTGGCCTTGTAAATCCATTTCACTCCAATCACTTTCTTATCTGTAGGCCTTAGCACCAACATCTAAGCCTAATTTTTATGGATCATTTTCATTTCTTCTTCCATAGCTTCAATCCATTCATGATGTTTTGCTGCTTCATTATAGTTGTTTGGTTCAACAATTACTATGTAACATCTTTCATAAACTTCATTCAAAGGTCTAGTTCCTCTAGGAGGTGGACTAGAACAAGAAGAAGACTCAGATGGACCATCATTTGAATAGCTTGACTCTACCATATGTGGCTGAATTTCAGGAACTATGATTCGAGTGTTCTGTTGCATAGTTGGAAAATGAACAAATTGTTGTTGTGGCTTGGCTTCCTCCCAATTCCATTTAGCATTTTCATCAACTTTAACATCTCTAGAAACTGAAGTTTTTCCAGTTTCTATGTTATGCACTCTATAGCCCTTTGATTGAGAACTATAGCTAAGAAAGATTCATTTTACTGCCTTGTTATCCAGCTTACTTCTTTTTTGATCAGGAACATGGATATAGCACAATGATCCAAACACTTTGAGATGTTTTGCTGTGGGTTTCATTCCACTCCATGCTTCAATTGGAGTCATATCTTTTAAAGCTTTAGTTGAGAGTCTATTTTGCAAATACACTGAAGTGTAGATTGCTTCGACCTAAAATCTTTTAGGTAGTCCCTTCTCGGTTAGCATGCATCTTGCCATCTCCATGACTGATCTATTTTTCCTCTCTGCCACTCCATTTTGCTGTGGAGTGTAAAGGACAGTAAGTTGATGATGAACTCCATTTTCTTCACAAAATTGATCAAACTTTGTTGAAGTGTACTCCTTACCATTATCGGATCTCAACACCTGAATTTTGCAACCTGATTGTGCTTCCACTAGAGCTTTGAATTTCTTAAAAACATGGAACACATCTGATTTATTTCTCGTAAAGTACACCCAACACATTCTGGTGAAATCATCAATGAAAAGCACAAATAAAAATTTTGACTCAATGAAGGTGTTTTCATAGGTCCACAAATATCAGTATACACAAGTTGAAGTTTTTGTGTTGCTCTCCATCCTCCTTCAGTTGGAAATGATTCTCTATGCATTTTGTCAAAATTACAATTTTCACATACTCCTCCCGACTCTTGAATTTTAGGCAAATCTCTTACCATACCATGTGAATGTAAGTAGGCTAAGGATTTATAGTTAAAATGACCATATCTCTTTTGCCATAAATTTGACTCATCAAAGTTAACTTCCGAAGCATTTGCAATAAGACTTTGCAAATAAAGATTGAAACTTTTGTACTTCATAGGCACACATTCTATTTCAACATCATGTGAATCATATATTTTGCACAAATGATCTTTAAATTTCAATGAATAACCATTTTGAACCATTTGACCCACACTCAATAAATTTGAACTTAAACCAGGTACAAGTAAAACATTAGCAATGTACCTTGTTCCTTTCTTTATTTGGACAGCAATGGTTCCCATTCCTTTTGCTAAAACGGCTTCTGCATTTCCCATTTTGATTGTTGCTTTACAACCAGGATTTAAGTTGCAAAAGATCTCTTCCTTGCTTGTCATATGGTTTGTACAAGCACTATCAATGAACCATGAATCTTTGCCCACCATATTTGACATATGAAATACAAGAAACAAGTGATCCTCTTCTTTCCTTTCATGAGCAAGTAAAGCTTGCTGGTTTTGAGGTCTTGATTGATGTTGTACTGAGGTTTGATTCTGGAGTTTGTCTCTACAAAACTTCTCCACATGACCAAATTTTTACACCATCTACATTGCTTAGACTTCCAGCAATACTTCTCCAAATGGTTTGTTTTGTTACAAACACCATAAGGAGGATACGTATCACTTCTTCCTTTGCCCATTCCTTGTTTACTACAGCTGCCTTCTTTCCTCTTTTTTCCATCATATTGCTTTTTTTCACCACTTCCCCTTGAATATTGTTGCTTATGTTTTGCTGTGAAAGCTCCTTCAATTGAATTTTCTGCCCTTACTGCTTGTCTCTGTTCATAAGCTAATAGAGCTCCTGTAAGATCAGTTAATGAGAGACTTGACAGGTCCTTTGTATGCTCTATAACTATTGTTACAGCATCAAATCTTTTAGGCAAGGTAATTAGCACTTTTTGAACCACTCTTTTATCAGTAACTTTCTCCCCCATTTAACTTGAGTTGATTAACAATATTCACAACTCTTGAAGTGTAGTCTTTTATTTTTTCAGCTTCTTTCACTTTGAGATTTTCAAAATCTCTACTCAAAGCTTGTAACCTTATAGCCCTTACCTTTTCAGAGCCTTTGAACTCTTCTTCAAGCTTATCCCAAGCTTCTTTGGCTGTAGACACAACAACTATTCTGGGAAAGATTTCTTCAGACACAGCTGTATACAAGAATGAAAGTGCTTTCATATTTTTCATGGATTGATCCTTCTGTTGCTTCAGCTGTGCCACTTTATAGTTTGCATCAGATTCGGGTGGTTCATACCCTTGCTCAATCACTTCTCACAGATCATGTGCCATCAAGAAAGCTTTCATTTTGATAGACCAAAAATCATAATTTTCTCTAGCAAACACTGTTGGTAGTGGAAGTGAAGAAGAAGAACTTGTTCCTGCCATCTTTATCTTTTCTCACAGCCCTTAAGATCAATGGTAGCTCTGATACCAAATGTTAGTTCCTTCTTCTCATGTAAAAGAGTTCAAGAACCTGCTCTTTATCTTCCAGAATGAAAGAGAACTAGCAATCTACTTGAAGAAGCAAAGAAAAAATTACAAAAACAGAACAGAGAAAAGACACAATTGTTGGGACAAAAAAGTCAGATTTTCATTCATTTTTTCCCTTACACACGTAGCCCATACACTGCCTTTTACAGATAAAATATAAAATATACAAAAGTTAGAATATAGATATGGTCATTGCAGCCTACATTACATTGTACTGTAGAAGAAAAAGATGGTCTAAGCTAGGAGTTTTAAATAAAAGCTTTATTTCCTTCATGTTTATAGGATTTTCATTTAGAGGCAAGTCATATTTACCAGAATCATTAAATTTGAAGCTATGCAATAGGAAATTTTCCTTATTCTTCTTATAGAATGGGTGAACTACTTAACATGATGTGCATGTATATTTTTACATAATTTCTATTGGAGACGACTTATAAAAAGGGTTCTGTAAGGGTTGGTTTTTGATATATTTGTTTGACCAGTTTTAACCCACAAGAGCGTGATCAAAACACAATTTATATGGATGAAAATTTGGACAGAGTTTCGGTATAAAGATTACGCAAAACAATGGTTAAGAAGGAGTAGAAATAGAGAATAATCCAAGGCGAGACGTTATCTCTTTCCTTAAGACAAATTGCCCCGCTACGGTGCTCACGGTGAATGGAAATTGTCTCCCAAGATATAATGGATTCACAACTTGTTGTAGCAGCACTTCAAACCACAAGAAACAGACGAACTTTTGATAGAACTTCCCCTCTACAAAGGAAATGTATGAAATGCTATAGAATTAGAAAGAAGAGAATTACAAGAGGAGAATGAATGCTCAATGCAATTAGTGTGTCCAAAACCATATCCATAGGATTCTATTTATAGATGTAGAAAGGGTGCAAATGAAGTAGTGTGAGCAAAAACATGCATCCTTTCAAAAAAGTTGCAACACTTGGCCAAAACCTGCACCTTTCAAAAAGTTGCAACACTTCATTTCTTTCAACTTTTGTCCACAATTTCTCATTCATCCGGAATTGGTTTCGAGACTCCAAATATACCACGACGATCTACTCGACGAGTAGAATAAGTTTGTCTATTTACTTTGTAATTTGACCATTGGATCAAGTCTGAATATTTGGTTAAAGTTGACACGTAGCCACAACTTTTCATTTTCCATTTTTACGTACCTTTTCATTTTCCAATTTTTACACACCTTTTCATTTAATATTTGAACCAATTCCTAAAATCCCCCACATGAATGAAAATTTGGGTATGCATATGCAAATGCAATGATATGATGTAATGTAGAGAGGGTGCGAAAAAATACTGCATCAGGGATGGTGGCTTCTGGCCTTGAACCTCCCTTAGTGAAATACTATTGGATTTACTCGGATAATTGGTGAACCATAGGTCTTGAACCACTTAGCCTTTGGTGTAAGTCAAGACAACAGTACTCACACAGATATCTTCCCTATTCTGTACTTAGTTCTCATGACTTTGTTCATTTTGGCCCTGAACCCTTCTTGGTTTCATAAGTGTTTAAAGAATTCAAACCTTAAACAATTCTTATCGAAGCGACCCCACTTCATACTTACATAGGTGACTTCCTATTAAGAGTATTCTGCCCTACTCCACTTGACTTAATCAAGATATAGGAATCATTAAAAGATAATCTTAGCCTTTATTTACTCTGCAGAAAGCACGTTAGTATCATAGGAATGAGTTAGGAATTCTAATTTCCTAAGTGTTTCATGGAATTTTCACAACTTAGTTGTCCCTTTGAACCAAGATCTTGGGATCTTCAGTCAACAGGGTAGGGTTACCATTGCAAAAACTCTTACGTAGTAGGCTTTAATCTCATTCCTCTCGATAGGCAACGCATTTGATCTCCAGGCAAACTTTTCGTCAGTGGAGCCGCAATATTCTCCTTCGATTTCACATAATCTATGGAGATAACGCCATTTGAGATCAGTTGCTTAATGGTTTTGTGTCTACGACGAATATGTCTAGACTTATCATTATACATGTTGCTTCGAGCCCTTCCAATTGCTAATTGACTATCACAATGTATACTTATCGCAGGTACTGGCTTGGGCCAACATGGAACATCTTCTAAGAAATTTCGAAGCCATTCTAATTCTTCTCCACCTTTGTCCAAAGCAATAAACTCAGATTCCATCATTGATCGAGCTATGCACGTTTGCTTTGTTGATTTCCATGATACAGCAGCTCCACCAATGGTGAATACATAACCACTAGTGGACTTGGAATCCTTTATATCGGATATCCAATTTGCATCACAATATCCTTCTAGTACCGCAGGATATTTTGTGAAGTGTAATCCATAGGTTAAGGTATACTTCAAGTTCCTTAAAACCCTCGTCAAAGCCTTCCAATGATCACGGTTTAGATTACTTGTAAATCTACTAAGTTTATTCACCGCAAAAGCAATATCCGATCGAGTGCAGTTTGTAATATACATAAGACTGCCAATTATTTGTGAATACTTTAGTTATGATACGCTTTCTCCCGTATTCTTCACTAAGTGCATACTCAGATCAAGAGGAGTTCTCGCAGGACTTTCCTCAAACACGTCAAATTTCTTAAGTACTTTTTCTATGTAGTGAGATTGTGAAAGTACAATTTCATCCTGCGTTCTAGAGAATTTAATCCCTATGATTACATCTGCCACGCCCATATCTTTCATATCAAAATGCTTTGTTAGCATCTTTTTGGTGTTAAGAAACATTTCGTGACTATTGCCCATTATTAATATGTTGTCCACATATAAACAAACAATTATATAGGCATACAGTGTATGTTTAATAAATACGCATTTGTCACATTCGTTGATCTTGAATCCATTTGACAACATAGTTTTGTCAAACTTTTGGTGCCATTGTTTAGGAGCCTGTTTTAATCCATACAAGGACTTAACAAATTTACACACTTTGTATTTTTGGTTAGGAGAAATGAATTCTTCAGTTTGCTCCATGTAAATCTCCTCTTCTAACTCACCATTTAGGAATGCTATTTTTACATCCATTTGATGAATCTTAAGATTGTGTATTGTCGCAATTGCAATTAACAACCTTATCGACGTGATTCTAGTCACGGGTGAGTAGGTATCAAAGAAATCAAGTCCTTCCTTTTGCCTATATCCTTTAACAACGAATCTAGCCTTATATTTATCAATGGATCCGTCAGTTTTCAATTTCTTTTTGAATATCCATTTGCAGTCTAAAGGCTTGTTACCGGGAGGTAAATCAACCAACTCCCATGTATGGTTTGCATTATAGAATCTATCTCATTATTAATAGCTTCTTTCCAATGCAGTGCTTCCGGTGTAGACATTGCTTCATTGAGAGTCTTTGGATCATCCTCTACCATATAGGTTAGAAAATTTGGGCCAAATGTCTTGGAAGTCCTAGCCCTTTTAGTTTCATATATTCTCTTATTAGAACTCGTATTTTCCTTATCTTTGCGAGGAAAAATATTTTCAAAGAATGTCGCATTCCTTGATTCAATTATGGTCCCTTTGTGTACGTCTTGTATTTTGGATTTGTGTACAAGAAATCGATATGCACTACTATTATTGGCGTATCCAATAAATATGCAATCTATCGTTTTAGGACCAATTTTCACTTGTTTAGGCTTAGGTACCTCAACCTTAGCCAAACACCCCCACATTTTCAAGTATTGGTAAGATGGAGGATAGCCTTTACATAGTTCATATGGTGTCTCTTCCATTTTCTTAAGAGTTATTTTATTAAGAAGACTATTTGCTGTTAAAATAGCTTCCTCCCACATGTTTTGTGGTAAACCCGAACTTATTAACATGGCATTCAACATTTCTTTAAGTGCTCGATTTTTGCGTTTTGCAACACCATTTGATTGAGGAGAGTAAGGTCCCGTTGTTTGATGAACAATTCCATGTTCAGAACAAAAGCCTTCAAACGATGCCCCATATTCACCTCCTCTATCACTACGAATATTTTTTATTCAATTTTCAAATTGTGTTTCAACTTCAGCCTTATAGATTTTGAATGCATCTAAGGCTTCGTCTTTACTTCTCAAAAGAAAGTCATAGCAAAACTTTGTATAATCATCAATAAATGTCACAAAGTATTTCTTACCACCTCGAGTTTGTACAAATTTTAGATCGTATATATCGCTATGGATCAATTCAAGAGGGGTTGTGTTCCTTTGTATTGAATGGAACGGTGTTTTAGCCAATTTTGCTTCAACACATATTTCACATTTATGATTAGGATTGATTTTATGCGTTGGAATTAAACTTTGATTCATTAGTTTGCGCAACGATTTGTAATTCACATGTCCTAATCGACTATGCCACAAACATGAAGGCTCAAGCAAGTAAACGAAATTTATAATTTTATTCATAACGACTTGCTTCGATACAATTGTAAGAACGTTCAACTTAAACATTCCATTACACATGTATCATTTCCCTACATACATCTCATTTTTAGACAACACAAATTTATCGGATACAAATACAAGTTTAAAACTATTCTTGCTAAGTAGAGATCCGGACACTAAACTCTTTCTTATATCTAGCACATGTAGGACATTGTTGAGGACGAGTTCTTTCCCGGATGTCATCTTCAAAGTGACTTTGCCTTGTCTTTCAACTTTGGAATTTGCAGAATTTCCCATATATAGTTATTCCCCATTCAATTCTTGATAGTTGGAGAACGTCCCCTTGTCCGCACACACATGGCGGGTAGCGCCGGTGTCAATCCACCATTCTCTAGTATTTCCAATCATGTTGCATTCGGACAATGCTGCAAATAAACTCATTTCTTGCAGTCCATCAGATAGAGTGATATTTGCAACAATGTGGGCTTGAGCATTCTTCTTTGGCTTTCGACATTCACTTGAACGATGTCCAGTCTTGCCCCAGTTGTAACAAATCCCTTTGGACTTCTTAGCCTTCTTGAAATTGTCTCTTTGCGGTGCATAATTAGGAGCCTTTCGTTTCTTGTTTGTTGCCTTTGATTCTATTTCAACAAAATTTGCACCATCTTGATCAACCGGCCTCCGTTCTGTTTTTCGATTGTCCTCTTCAATTCTCAAGCGCACAATCAATTCTTCCAAGTTCATTTCCTTACGTTTGTGCTTGAGATAATTTTTGAAATCTCTCCGCATAGGAGGGAGTTTCTCAATAATGGCAGCCACTTGGAATGATTCACTCGATTCCATTTTTTTGGCATGGATGTCGTGTAACAAAACTTGAATCTCTTGTACTTGACTAATTACGGTTTTGGAATCCACCATCTTGTAGTCCAAAAATTTACCAATAATGAACTTCTTTGTTCTGGCATCCTCGATTTTGTACTTTGTCTCCAAAGAATTCCATAGTTCCTTGGCTGATTCCTTTGAACTATACACCCCATATAGTGTATTATCCAATGCGTTTAGGATATAGTTCTTGCATAGAAAGTTCGAGTGTTTCCATGCATCTAAAGCAATAATCGATTCACGATTATTTTCCCCTGCAAATTTTTCCGACTTTTTCCCATGTGGGATAGTAGTATTATGCAGCGGTATGGCCACGGGTGGTACCACATTATTGGAACCATTTTGACTTGACGAAGTCCCAATGGTAGTCATTTCTGTTACACAAACAAAAGTTCAACAAAATGATGATAATATCAATGGAGGAATAGTACACAAAGTACTATTCAAACAAAGTAATGTTTGTCCACAACCAACCACAAAGACACACAAATTTGTTTTAAGATTGTTGGAGACGACTTATAAAAAGGGTTGTGTAAGGGTTGGTTTTTGATAAATTTGTTTGACCAGTTTTAACCCGCAAGAGCGTGATCAAAACACAATTTATATGAATGAAAATTTGGACAGAGTTTCGGTATAAAAGTTATGCAAAACAAGGATTAAGAAGGAGTAGAAATAGAGAATAATACAAGGCGAGACGTTATCTTTTTCCTTAAGACAAATTGGCCCACTACGGTGCTCATGGTGAATGGCACTTGTCTCTCAAGATACAATGGATTCACAACTTTTGGTAGCAGCACTTCAAACCACAAGAAATCGACGAACTTTTGACAGAATTTTCCCTCTACAAAGGAAATGTATGAAATGCTATAGAATTAGAAAGAAGAGAATTGCAAGAGGAGAATGAATACTCAATGGGATTCTATTTATAGATGTCGAAAGGGTGCAAATAAAGTAGTGTGGGCTAAAACATGCATCCTTTCAAAAAAGATGCAACACTTGGCCAAAATCTGCACCTTTCGAAAAGTTGCAACACTTCATTTCTTCCAACTTTAGTCCACAATTTCTCATTCATCCGGAATTTGTTTCGAGATTCCAAATATACCACGACGATCTACTCGGCGAGCCATGTGTTCTAATGAGGTTCCAATGTGATATGCTTAAGGATCACATCAGTAATTGATAATGAAAGTACAAGATTTTTTTCCCTGAATATAAAGGAATCACTGGGAAGGACTTAGAAGGAAAAAAGGTTGCGTATATGAGATGAGACGTGAACAATAAAATTAAAGTAAATTGACGAAGTTTTGCTCCTAAAAGCAAAGGCAAAAAAAATTAAAAAACAAGCGAAAATTAAATGGATCACTGTTATAGGAATATTAACATTCAAATTAATAGAGAACCATCAGAAAAAAAGGAAATAAAGAAAAAGGTGAGAGTAATTGGATGGCTTCTCATCCAATAAAGACATGGAGGAAGAGGATCAACCACAAATCCCGTGCATTTTATAATTTATTTAGGCATGCTAATAGAGTTGAAAAGCTTGCTGAAATCGTCCTGCAACTGGGAAATGATGTGTTAGTTTTGATACTTTTTAACAATTTCCAAGATTTGCAAGCCTTGATTTCAGAATGATCTATATCATGTTTTATTTATATGAGCAAGGTGACATGAAGCTTCGTGTACGAATTTTGGAGTCTAAGTGAGCTTTTCAACATGTTGTAGCTGTTCAAAGTACAACAGGAAGTGTGAGGCTGCCTCATACCACATTAGAAGAGACACAATAAGGCCTTGTCCATGCCTATCTCGCAATTAATATCTATACCATCTCTCTCTTCTTTATTTATGTTTGGTCAGATTGTGATTTTTGGAGCTTAACTTGTGTCTAAATTATTTTCATTTTTATATGCTTTCTTAGTTGCTAGATGAGAGGGAAAGCATGAATGTACCTCAATTTCTAAAAGCATTAGATAGGTAAGAGAAGCAAGCATAGCTTTACTTAGGATTCCATTTCTTGTTAAAAAAAAAATCAACCTTTATGGTCCATTTGTATTTTAAATACTTGCACAAGTTACACAAAACTTGTATTATTTGTCTTCTTCTTCCAGTAACTTGATTGTCCTTATTCTACGTGTAAAATGATTTCTTATATTATGGAATAATATAACTATCTCTTTGCATTCTCAAGAAAAAAATTTAACTCAATATAGCCATAACAAACATTGAATGAAGTATATGATTCATAAGAATTCACATATTTAACACACTAACAGTATCTCCAAATTAACCTTGCATATGCATTATACAGGCAAAGACTAGTTTTATTTATAAATGAGGAAAAATAGTCTTTCGGGGCATAGTTCAGTGGTGCAGAGGACAAAAGTGAGGTTATCTCATGCTTTGCTGGTAGTTCAGTGTGGGGTTAGATTCCTGAGACATGGAATTGGACTCCTTGTAGGCACAGTGTACAAGCAGCTCTTCTTCCCTAACCTGTTGGGGCACGTCTCGCGATTTACCTTCCTCACAAAGCTCTAGGGACAAGGCGGTGGGGGCCCTCAAGGTTGGGGTTCAACTTTTTTATAAATGAGGAAAAATAGAACGTACACATTTTAAGTTTGTAACCATCTTTATTTATTTTATATTTATGTCTATGACAACTATTTCTTGACGTCAACGCTATGAACTCAAAATAATCTCATTTTTCAATCAATAAAATGTCAAATAAAATAAAAAATTCAGCACCCCAATAAATTTGTATTGTACGTCGAACAAGTTGTCCCTTTGCTGACTTGAACAGTTTTCAGATAGAAGAATGGAGTTTTTACGAGAGACGGGACGTTAATTTGCCTTGCCCAGAAAAAAAGGTTGCGCATAATAAATTATAAACATTATGCAGTTTTCACGGTTTTGTCCCCTTTTTTTAGAAGGAAGACTGCAATTTGAGTCTTTATTTTTTTTAAATTTTACGATAATGTCCCAACTACTTACCCTTTTATGGTTACATGTCTAAATTTTTTATTTTATTTTTAGCTAAGACGAAGAGGATGGACCGTAATCATCGGTTTTGACATTTAAGTCAGTAAACACCCTTCATCAAAATCAGCGACAGTGAAAGTTATTACTAATGCAACTATTTAATCAAAACATGAAGAATTAGGAAAAATCTTCAAAGGATAGAAAGGCATTGAACTTCTATTAAGGTATAAGTGATTTCAATATTCGAAGAATTAGAAAAAATGTCACAAATTTCTATGTGCATCATTGTACTATGCAACTTTTTATGCAAGTCGAAACAACTCTTTAAGTCACGCCATAAATGAAATTGGCAAATTTCAATTTTAATAAAATTTCGTTGCACGAATTTTATGAGATAGAGATATGGCATGTGAATTGCAAATAATCCAATTTGAAAACAACATATGAGAGGATTTATCTTTGCAAGTTAACCAAACTTTTGGCATCAAATGGTTAGGTGATCCGTATAACCAGCAATCGCCATCTCCCAATGTTGATTAAAATATGCAAAAGATAATTGTATAGTTGAAAACTACAATATATATATATATATATATATATATATATATATATGACCCTTTGTCACGTAGATGGGTGAATATTGTCATTCTTATTTAGAGTCACTATATGCTCCTCAATTATTGTTGTGCCAGTAACTTATCCTCAATCGTTAAAACGTAAAATATCATCAACCTTCTATTATGATAGTAAAATCAGTATTCAACAACGAAAGCATTCCAATTTTATGTTAAATAATCATGTGGTTCTAATATGTTAAGTTTTAGGAAGCCACACTTGGATCGCGTGACAATTTAACATGAATTCATGCACATATTGTTCAACTAATAATGAAAAATAGAGACCATTATCTTCAAAGGTTTGGAATTATCTCTCTCTTTCTCAAACATCGACCAATGATTTTCCTGTCGAGGCAATTGATTAAGGGCCAATTCTTAAAATATAGCAACGAGCCACTACTACCTAAATTGGTGATGATCTCTACTAAATAATGTACCAACTGATTTCAATCGTTCTTTGTCACGTAACCAATCGTTTTATCTTACACCATATTAGGAGGTCCAATCCTTGAGGCCTTTGCGCTGGAAATAAATTAACATACAGGAGAAATCAACAGAATGATAAAAGTGTCGTTACTGGGAAGCAAATGACCTTTTGTCATTTTGTTTTTAAACACGATTATAAGCAGCCACATCTCGTTCGTGCCTTGGGAACTAATAAGTTGAACTCATTTCGGTTGTAAAATAGACATGATATTTACAAAAGTTGAGAGATATGCTCATTACTTAAATTCTAATGAACCAGTAGAATAACTTATGCTTTCATCAATTCGATATCATATGATCCATATCATTTTAATCGTCCTGTAACATCTCGAATTTTTCTTACTTATTTTCATATGAACCTAAATTTAATATTGATCATTTAGCAAATGAAATAGTCCATGTCTAGGTTTGTCGATATACTAAAAGTCTGAATGTTGAAGTGATAAATATGACCCACTTATTTGTATAAATAATTTATTTTGCATACGTATAATTTTTTGAAATTATTGTAAGTTATTTGGGTCAAATATTTAAGTATTTCAAAAGTTAATAAAAATATATCGATATTATACTCATTTTGTAACTCGTGTTAAATAACATAAATTGGCTCAAAAAGAATAAATTTTGGACTAATCATATTTGAGTTATCTTGATAGAAAGAAAATTACCCTAATCCTATATTTTATTAAAAAAAAAAACATATATATATTAGAATGAGAGAATGGGCCGTTTCTTGTAAATTGAAAACCGTGAAATCAATAATTTTTCTAATTAATATATTAAATTAATCTTTTCAACTTTTACACAACCATTCCAATGATTCCATAATTGAATACTAATTTTCACACTCACCATTATTGATTTGAAATAAAGAATATGTTAATTAACCTATTGATTCCCCCTAACACACACACACATATATATGTGTGTGTGTGTGAGAGAGAGAGAAGTATTATTTTCCCTTTACATATACACCTCGACACGTGAAAAAACACATATTAACAAAGATATATTATCTTATTCACAAGCCATTTTCAGATTTATTTATTTTCAAATTGAGGTAAGAATACACAGTGTAAAGTAGTAAATTCTTATTTCTTAATATTTATATAAATTTTGGCATGAAATACTATAAAGCCTTCGAATCAAATTTTATGTTAAATCCTTCGGCATAGACCATTAGGTCAAGTATATTAAATCCTATGGGGTGGATCTTTAGGTCGGTTATGTTAAATCCTATGAAATATGGAAATTTTTTAGAAATTCCTTAAACTCAAAATCTAAGAAATATCGATATGTTATGTCAGTTTTATATTTCTATCATGTTAATAAAAATGTGCACATATTCTTATTGAATGTCTTCAAAATACTCACTCTTACTAAAATTTCAGATTAAAATAGGTTGTGTAGACGCGTGGAAAATTGATTGAGTGATGCTTATGGGGTTTTCAAATAAAGGTTCCAGAAAATATAATTATCAACTTTTATTTGAATAATATCTTATGTTAATGCATGTTATTTAACATTGCTAGAAATCCAACATTCGACATTTTATATTAAATCTTAAATTAATAGTTTGGAATGGGGTTTCAAGAATTATATTTAATACGAATATTTTACTTAAGTTGTTGTTTTATCGTTATCGAATTATCAATCACAATTTCGAATTTCAACCCTTAATAAAAGTGATATTTCCGCTTAAATTAAATAAAGAAGAATTTGGTAACTCATTGAGTCTATTTTTATAAAAGAATAAAACAATAAAGATGAAAATGATTTCGGGGCGTTACACATTCTTTGTCACGTTATCAACATTTATATCTTAAGCACGTTAGGGGGTTTAATTCTTGAAGACGTTGTGTTGAAAATAAATCAAAATATTGAATAATACAACAAAACGGTACAAGTGACTTTATTAAGAAGAAAATGACCATTGTGTCGTTCTATTTGTAAACACAAATATAAACAGTCATGTTCCTTTTGTGTCTCAAGAAATAAAAATGAAACTTGTTTACATTTTAATATACACATGAAATGTGAGAAAGGTTAAGATATATTCCTATTAACTTAATCGACACATATGATTAAGATGATTTGTACTTTCACCATTCCGATAACATACAAGCTACGTCATTTCAACCATTTTTGATGATATAGTCAACATTTCTATATTACATACATTATGAAGTTCTTTTTAGATATTGTTTTGTTGAAAAAATTAAATATAAGTAAAAACTTTTGAACAATACAAGTATCGTTACTGGACATGAAAATAGTACATGTGCTGTTACATGTGTAAACACTACTAGCCACAACTCATGTGCGCCTTAAAAATAATAAGTTGAACTTATTTACGTTGTAATAAAAGTTGAGAAATATGCTCATTAATTTAATTGACACGTATGAGTAGGACGACTTGTGATTTCACCATTTTAATAATATAAAAGTTATGTCATTTCAATATTCTTTCTGACATAGTCAATTTTTTTGTGTTACTTATGTCAGGAATACATTATTAGAGATCGTTTAGTTGAGAAAAAATCAAACCATGGTAGATAACGATTGTAGTGCCGTTTTACATAGCGAAAAAGACTGGAGTGACGTTCTACATTTTGGATAATAGTTGGAGTGTCATTACCATCTAATAGTTGCAGACAATACAAAAAAACACTAAGGAGTGTTTGATTGTCATTTTTAGGTAAAAATGCATTTTAGAATAGTAACTTGAGTGGGAAGTATTTGGTTGAAAAATAAGAATTTTTTTGATTTACGTATAATATTATTTTAATAAAAATATGTGGTTAAAAAGAAGAGAGAGAAAAATGCATTTAAAAAAAATGAGTACCAAACGGGGGCTAAGTACAAAAACAACACCATCTTAAATATTATTTATACTATATTCAATAATAAATATACAGTTTATATAAGATTTTTAAAATTATCTTTCTTCTTTCTTCAAATATAAATAAGATTTTCCGATATAGATGATGAATGTTCAATTATAGGATTTCTTTGATGTTGATGGTTGTTTCATTTAAAAGTCCAATTTGTAATAGATACGATTTCTTTGTTGTTGAGGTTGTTTCCTTTAAAATACCAAATCTTGATAAGATATATCAACTAACAACGTTTCTTTTTATATTTTAAAACCAAACCACTCGGATTTTATAATCAACTTATATAATGAAACAATGTTTTGCATCTATATAATGAATAGCAGGGTCAAAAGCATTCTAAGTTACAGCTTTTATGCCAAATACTTAACAGTGTTACGGTATATATCCAGTTGTAAGGAGACTAAGTCGTTGACAGTAGCTAATGAGTACCTTGAACTTTTTACAGGGGAGCTTCCCGTCGAGTGCCACCCCTAGATTTGTGGCACCGGGGGTCTCATACTTCTCGAGCTCCCTCAGAATGGTTCCAGCCTTGTCCCATAAAAACCCAGAAGTAATAGTAGTCAACTGGTGAGTAGAATCTGTAAGCAATTTTCAGTTAGTAACAATCTTTTGTGTCCGTTACTCAAATGTTTTTGTTTTTCTTTTGTTGGGGAGTTTGGAAATTTCAGGGAGAAATCTAGAAATCCTCAACATGAATTCGGCAGGATGGCAGAGATTAATATGGTGGTGAGACATGCAGAGAGGCAAATACCTCCGGTGCCTCACTGGAGATTTTGTTACATGACTTTACGCAACAATTTCAATCTGGGCGCTTTAATCCTTCATCAATTTGATATAGATCTTCGTAATGCTGTAAGTTACCTTCCTCTCCTAAAGGATACTACATTTCATGTGCTCGAATTATGTTTCACGTCATCGTGTGCCTAATTGGATGCTTTGTTTGTGAGTTTGACTGCATTTAGGAAAAGAGAAAGACAATTTTAACTGGATTTGAAAAGCTTTATATATATATATATATATATATATATAAACCTGTGGTGTATTTGAATGTTTACAAAAGACTGTATATTTGCATCTTTGACTTCTAAAAATGTGCACAAACATTTCCACTATTAACTTTCTGATGCCACCATATCCTCTAACTTTCTAGCCAGTTAATCTAAGAAACTGCCATCGGTGTCACCACCAAACCCATTCCACCAGTTTAATTTGAACTGACCCTGCCTAGTAAAGAGAGGGTAAGAAGGGTGGTGGGTTCCATGGGAAAACTAACATGCAGGGTAGAAATGGATAAGCAGCCAAAGTCTTCCCTTATCTTAAAAAATCGATGCAGACTCTGTCAATCTCGATGAAACCAAAAGGTGCATTGAATTTTATCTTAGTAAACTGTCCACGTGTTTTCTGTTAAGTTACATTTTTTTCTGCAGACTTGAGTAGTATATTCAATATCAATTTCGCCTCTTTGTATATTCCATTATGTGAAGAATGATTATTGTGTAAAATTTCTTACACTTTACAGGTATGTGTTCTCTATTTGTCCCTTTACGCTCTTGACCACATCGGTATGTTTTAACTATACATGAGTTTCTTTTTTTTTTTTCACATGTTAATTACACTAAAAGTGCATACATGATTCCTCTTAATGGATTTACCTGCATATGTAGACAATTGTCAATTTCGTAGTAGTCATTTGACATTTTTTAATTATTAATCAAAAGCGATATTAGTTTCATTTATAAATGATAATGTCCTTAAGAAAATTAAGGTTTAGTAAGACTGTTTCGATGTTGAGACGTATCCAGCTTCACATTTCCCCTCTGTGATGGCGATACTTTTACTGCAACATCAAGCATGCAGTTCGTCTTACTTTTCGATCCTTGCTTGTCCTCAGCCTCTTGACATACCTGGAAATAAAACAAAAACAAAAATTATGCAAGACTAAGATTTCAAATTAAATCAAATGGAAACACTATCGCAGTAAGCAAATTGAACTATGCTTGCTTATTCTTCTTATTCAAGAAGCTAACAAATTACCTCTAAATTACTAGCTTAATCAAAAATTTTAAACAAATAAATACAAAGATTACATTACCTATCGTCGCCTAATTTTGTTTTTGAAGTAATGAACGAGAGAAAAGTTTCATTCAAGCACTTGTTTATCGGTGTGTGGAAATTAACATGTCTACCCATAATTTATACAAATTATAAAAACTTAAAACTATATAAATAACAAAAATTTAAAATAAAAGAAAATATTGAATAAAATACAAATAATTACGGAAATTCAAGATACTATAAATTAACACTTCTAACAGTATGTTTGACATAGATTTTTGTAGAAAGTGGATAAACGTCGTGAATCCCATGGAATGTCCGGTTAGAAATAATATAAGCTTTGCCAACCATACAATAAATTAGCCATGACGGCAGCACGGGGACAGTGGGTCAGGGGATAGGAGATGAAGGTGAAGGTCATGTAGCCGGAAAAAGGGAAGGGAAAAATGGCGTTGAGCTTGGCTTGACATTAACATAGAAAGAATTAGGTCACACTCAGGCTCTAATGGTATTCCAAACTATTATTTTTTACTTGATATTGATGATGAGTGCAAGGAGTAAAAAGAGCAATTAAGAGAAGAAAGGAGGAGGAGGAAGAGAAAATGAGGGAGATTGTAGTTTATTTCAATAATCAGGTGTGTCTCAGGCCTTTTATAGGTTCTATATTACACCGAGGAAGGAAAATAACTAATAAGGATAACTAGAATTTCCTTTTAAAAATGAGACAAACTTACTATCTTACCAAAATCAATAAAACGAGATAAAAGAAAGTTCTATTCCAATTGATTTTATTTCGTTTATGCCTAGAATATACTTTCACTTTGCATCAGAGGTCCTTGACCTAGCAGCCTCTATTCACACGAATTTCATTCCTTTTGACAGAGGATGATACAAGCATTTCTGCCGAGGTTAAAGTACCTACCCTGATGGCTTTTCACCGTCTCATATATGATCAAGATTTGCAGTTTGCACGTGAGTTTTAAATGTTTCTACCTATACAGTCTGTTTGACACTCTTTCTGCTTATTGTACTTTTCACGTTGAAGAATGCGTCGTGACTTGATGATCCGTAAGTTAATTTTGTTCCATCATATTTGATGAGGTAACAGAATACGCTTTTCTGATTTCCATCATTTTCAACCCTTGTGCATCTTCTTCTTATGGAAATCGAAGTCGTCGGTTAGTCGGCGAGGACATTGAATCTTTGCCTGCTGCTTTTCTTTTGAGGATGGGGGAGTTTGTTTGTGTGTATAAAAAGTTGTCTCTGTTCTTCTGACATATGAATGCTCTAAATTTGCTGCCTGATCCTTCTTGTATTTTTTCTTAAAGGTGGTACAAAGAACTACAGAGTTCTCCTAAACAACTTCTATCATGTTTCCACTGCTTTTATGGATCTTGGGCTCAGGTTTTCCCTTCATAAGCATTTATTTCTTCCGTGATGATTTCAAATTTATTTTAAATCATGTACTTATTTACAATTTGATCTGCATGTCTTAAAAAATGAAACAATTTTCTTTGTTTCATATTTTCTAGAGCTAATACAAAATGATATACAATTATTTCTGAAACTATCGAGCACCTTGATTGTCATGCGTCAACTTGTTAACGTTGTATGATCTTTGAAAATTTGATTATACTTAGACTACCCCAATAGGTTTCCGAGCGCCGGAGTTTTGGATACTTTGTGAGTTTGTTGATGGAAAGTTAAACAAACGGATTTGAGGATCTCCATATAAATTTTGCAAAAAGTTTCCAGGGTCACATGATAGCAAGAAGGGCGACAGAAATTTGGCAAAATTCCTATTTGAGGCGAAAGCAAAAGAGAAGACTTTTCAGTTTCCTTATCTCTTAATTATCGTGTGTTATAATAAGAAACATCTAGACATCTATTTAATGATATCAATGAGCATCCTAAACAGACTATCTAGATTTTATCACACTCCATTTTCTTAGTTGTTATTATGTGATTGGTAAATTTGAATGATAGATATATGTATTCAGTTGATTTCCAGTGTGTAAGGCAAATATGTTGCCTTTTGGTTGAATGCTTCATGACACATGGTTTCTGCTCCCCATGTTAATCACGTTTGGCATCTAAAATTTCCTATACATCTGCATTTAGCCCCCATTTGACCCCCATTACCTGAAAATGAAAATGGGGGGAATAATATTTCTTAGAAAAATGAGTGGTTGAAAAAGAATGAAAAGTTTTCGATTTACATGTAATATTATTTTATTGAAGATTGTGTGGTTGAAAATAGGAGAGAGAAAAATGGAATGTAATATAATTGAATTTAATGAGGATCAAACATAGGAAATGTAATTTGACCAATATAAAACATTTTTCATCATGTTGAATGAACAGTGTTTGGACTTTGGAGAGCTCAGAAGTGAAAATATGAGACATAATTCAGTAAAAAACTGTATTTATCTTTCACATTTATTTTGCTTCTGCAAACTGGTATGGTGGTTGCTGAAGTTACATTACCCTATAAATAGTTCGATGTGTAAAATATGCGTTCTTTTGTGCGTGCCATGTAACTCTCCTTTTTTCACAGTTACCAGGAGGTTATTGAGGATACTACCAAGAAGATGGGTGCTGGAATGTCAAAATTTATTTGCAAGGAGGTATATTTAAAAACATCAATCCTTAGGTAGTTCAGTAATGCTCTGTTATCATATAGTACAATCCATCATAGATAATTCCCAGTATCACAAAGTTCAGTCATTTCTTCCACAATGTTAGCTAATTATATTTTATGTTATAATTGATTTCTAACCCATGTCACAACTTCACTTTGTTTGAGGCAAGTCCAATCGCTTGGATAGTGACACATTTTCTTTATCATTCCAGATAGAAACAATTGATGATTATGATGAATACTGCCACTATGTATCTGGACTTGTTGGATTAGGGTTGTCGAAGCTATTCCATGCTTCTGGAATAGAAGATTTGCCTCCTGGTACTTTCTTCCACACATCATTTGTATTTGGTCAGGTACTGATTACATTATGTGTAGCAATCGATACCAGCAATGTCTTTGAGAACTCGTGATATAATAGAAAGCCCATCTTGTTCCTTTGAAATAATTGCAGAAAGCAGATATTATCCAAGACTATTTGGAGGATATCAATATGACACCGAAACCACGAAGGTTTTGGCCTCGACAAATTTGGAACAAGTATACTGTTAGACTTGAGGTACATTTATTTTCATTACTTCATTTTAAATTTAGTTTACTGGTGCTTAAGTTGCAACATAGATTTTCTGCTAGATCAAGGAGGGCAAGTTGTGTTGTTGACAGTTATCTTTTACGCATCATAGGACTTCAAATATGAGAAGAACTCCATCCAGGCATTACACTGCCTGAATGACATGGTCACAAATGCGTTGCTACATGCTGAAGATTGCCTAAAGGACATTTCTGCTGTGCAAGATCCAGTTATCCTTCGGAGTATTGCAGGAGTACAGGTATATTCATTTTTATTATGATATAAGATTTGCAAGAGTACAGGTATATTCGTTTTTATTATGAGATATTTTAGACCTTTTTTTTTTTAGTGTTTACTCGTTTAAAAATCTTATTCAAAAAGCTTTTATTGTATGATGATGGTTGTCATGAGAGAAAAAATGAATTGAATGTAGTCTCTAGCTATTGCTTGTCACGAGATCGCATCATTTAGTTTGCTTTCATGAGCTTAAGGGGTAACAAGTATGAAAGGAAAACTAGGATCCTTTCCACACCATCTTGAATCAACTTTCAATTTATTGTTACCAATGGTTTAGTGGTTGTTAAGACTTAAAAGATGGTGTAGATTGCATGAGGCTAGTTGGCGCCAGCTGTAATAGGATAATTGTGAGAGAAGGGGAAAATGAAGAGGGAGAAGAGAAAGGAGGGAAAGAAGAGAGAAGGGGGAGAGAATAGAGAGAAATAGGGGGAGAATATCAATTCATTTCATAATCAAAGGTTTTTTTTATTACATCGCATAACCCCCTTTATATAGAGTTTAATAAAATCATAACTAAGTAAAGAGATTCTATAAAAGTTATTAAATCATAATCTAATCATGTTTCTTAAAATACGAATAAAAATCGAAAAACTAAATAATTAATTATCTCCTATGGTGTTGCATCATTTCTCCCCGGTTGAGAGAACTCGACTCCGACGATGTAGACAAGAACTTCATACTCTGAGGAGGTTTATCTTTTATCTTGATCAATTGCATGTATTGAACCTTGGATGTCATCTGACTAAGCACATACCATGGAGGACGATCTTTCTTATGATCCAAATATCTATTTTGAACATGTGACATCAACTAAACATATCTCCCAATGTTGATTAAAATATGCAAAAGATAATTGTATAGTTGAAAACTACAATATATATATATATATATATATATATATATATATATGACCCTTTGTCACGTAGATGGGTGAATATTGTCATTCTTATTTAGAGTCACTATATGCTCCTCAATTATTGTTGTGCCAGTAACTTATCCTCAATCGTTAAAACGTAAAATATCATCAACCTTCTATTATGATAGTAAAATCAGTATTCAACAACGAAAGCATTCCAATTTTATGTTAAATAATCATGTGGTTCTAATATGTTAAGTTTTAGGAAGCCACACTTGGATCGCGTGACAATTTAACATGAATTCATGCACATATTGTTCAACTAATAATGAAAAATAGAGACCATTATCTTCAAAGGTTTGGAATTATCTCTCTCTTTCTCAAACATCGACCAATGATTTTCCTGTCGAGGCAATTGATTAAGGGCCAATTCTTAAAATATAGCAACCAATTAGGGAGCCACTACTACCTAAATTGGTGATGATCTCTACTAAATAATGTACCAACCGATTTCAGTCGTTCTTTGTTTTGTAACCAATATTTTTATCTTACACCATATTAGGAGGTCCAATGCTTGACGCCTTTATGGTGGAAATAAATTAACATACAGGAGAAATCAACTGAACGACAAAAGTGTCGTTACTGGGAAGAAAATGACATTTTTGTCCTTTGGGCTTTGTTTTTAAACACGATTATAAGCAGCCACATCTCGTTCTTGTCTTGGGAACTAATAAGTTGAACTCATTTAGGTTGTAAAATAGACATGATATTTACAAAAGTCCTGTAACACCTCAAATTTTTCTTACTTATTTTCATATGGACCTAAACTTAATATTGATAATTTAGCAAATGAAATAATCCATGTCTAGGTTTGTTGTTACACTAAGTCTGAAAGTTGAAGTGATAAACACGAACCACTTATTTGTATAAATGATTTATTTTGCATACGTATAATTTTTTGAAATTATTGTAAGTTATTTGGGTCAAATATTTAAGTATTTCAAAAGTTAATAAAAATATATCAATATTATACTCATTTTGTAGCTCGTGTTAAATAACATAAATTGGCTCAAGAAGAAATAATTTTGGATTGATTATATTAGAGTTATCTTGATAGAAAGAAAATTACCCTAATCCTATATTTTATTAAAAAAAAAACATATATATATTAGAATGAGAGAATGGGCCGTTTCTTGAAAATTGAAAACCGCGAAATCAATAATTTTTCTAATAAATATATTAAATTAATCTTTTCAGCTTTTACACAACCATTCCATCAATGAATACTAATTTCCACACTCACCATTATTGATTTGAAATAAAGAATATGTTAATCAACCTGTTGATTCCCCCTAACGTGTGATGGTTTGTATTCCTATATATATATATATATATATAATGTGTGAGAAGTATGTTTTTTGCCCTTTACATGTACACCTTCTCACGTGAAAACACACATATTAACAAAGAGATATTATCTTATTCACAAGCCATTTTCAGATTTATTTATTATCAAATTGAGGTAAGAATATATAGTGTAAAGTGGTAAATTCTTATTTCTTGATATTTATATAAATTTTGGCATGAAATACTATAAAGCATTCGAATCAAATTTTATGTTAAATCTTTCGGCATAGACCGTTAGGTCAACTATATTAAATCCTATGGGATGGATCTTTAGGTCGGTTATGTTAAATCCTATGGAATATAGGAAATTTTCAGAAATTCCTTAAACTCAAAATCTTAGAAATATCGATATGTTATGTCAATTTTATATTTATATCATGTTAATAAGAATATGCACATATTCTTATTGAATGTCTTCAAAATATTCACTCTTACTAAAATTTCAGATTAAAATAGGTTGTATAGACACGTGGAAGATTGATTGAGTGATGCTTATGGGGTTGTCAAATAAAGTTTCAGAAAATATAATTGTCAACTTTTATTTGAATAATATCTTATTTTAATGCACGTTATTTAACATTGTTAGAGATCCAGCATTAAACATTTTATATTAAATCTTAAATTAATAGTTTGGAATGGGGTTTCAAGAATTATATTTAATACGAAAATTTTACTTAAGTTGATGTTTTATCATTATCGAATTATCAATCACAATTTCGAATTTCAACCCTTAATAAAAGTGATATTTCCGCTTAAATTAAATAAAGAAGAATTTGGTAACACGTTGAGTCTATTTTTATAAAAGAATAAAACAATAAAGATGAAAATGGTTTTGGGGCGTTACACGTTCTTTGTCACGTTATCAACATTTATATCTTAAGCACGTTAGGGGGTTTAATTCTTGAGGACGTTGCGTTGAAAATAAATCAAAATATTCAACAATACAACAAAACGGTACAAGTGACTTTATTAAGAAGAAAATGACCATTGTATCGTTCTATTTGTAAACACAAATATAAACAGTCACGTTCCTTTTGCGTCTCAAGAAATAATAATGAAACTTGTTTACATTTTAATATACACATGAAATGTGTGAAAGGTTAAGATATATTCCTATTAACTTAATCGACACATATGATTAAGATGATTTGTGCTTTCATCATTCTGATAACATACAAGTTGTGTCATTTCAACCATTTTTTATGATATACTCAACATTTCTATATTACATACATTATGGAGTTCTTTTTAGATATTGTTTTGTTGAAAAAAATTAAATATAAGTAAAAACTTTTGAACAATACAAGTATCGTTATTGGACATGAAAATAGTACATGTGCTATTACATGTGTAAACACTACTAGCCACAACCCATGTGCGCCTTAAAAATAATAAGTTGAACTTATTTACGTTGTAATAAAAGTTGAGAAATATGCTCATTAATTTAATTGACACGTATGAGCAGGACGACTTGTGATTTCACCATTTCAATAATATAAAAGCTATGTCATTTCAATAGTTCTTTCTGACATAGTCAATTTTTCCGTGTTACTTATGTCAGGAATCCATTATTAGTGATCGTTTCGTTGAGGAAAAATCAAACCATGGTAGATAACGATTGTAGTGCCGTTTTAGGTAGCAAAAAAGACTGGAGTGACGTTCTACATTTTGGATAATAGTTGGAGTGCCATTACCATCTAATAGTTGCAGACAACACAAAAAAAAAAAAAACACTAAGGGGGGGTTTGATTGCCATTTTTAGGTAAAAATGCATTTTAGAATAGTAACTTAATGGGAAGTATGTGGTTGAAAAATAAGAAATTTTTTTGATTTACGTGTAATATTATTTTAATAAAAATGTGTGGTTAAAAAGAAGAGAGAAAAAAATACATTTTAAAAAAAATGAGAACCAAACGGAAACTAAGTACAAAAAAACACCATCTTAAATATTATTTATACTATATTCAATAATAAATATATAGTTTATATAAGATTTTTAAAATTATCTTTCATCTTTCTTCAAATATAAATGAGATTTTACGATATAGATGATGGATGTTCTATTATAGGATTTCTTTGATGTTGATGGTTGTTTCATTTAAAAGTCCAATTTGTAATAGATACGATTTCTTGGTTGTTGAGGTTGTTTCCTTTAAAATACCAAATCTTGATAAGATATATCAACTAACAACTTTTCTTTTTATATTTTAAAACCAAACCACTCGGATTTTATAATCAATTTATATAATGATTGTTTGGTCTTCTCTTTCATTCAATAAACAATGTTTTTCATCTATATAATGAATAGCAGGGTCAAAAGCATTCTAAGTTACAGCTTTTGTGCCAAATACTTAACAGTGTTACGGTATATATCCAGTTGTAGGGAGACTAAGTTGTTGACAGTAGCTAATGAGTACCTTGAGCTTTTTACAGGGGAGCTTCCCGTCGAGTGCCACCCCTAGATTTGTGGCACCGGGGGTCTCATACTTCTCGAGCTCCCTCAGAATGGTTCCAGCCTTGTCCCATAAAAACCCAGAAGTAATAGTAGTCAACTGGTGAGTAGAATCTGTAAGCAATTTTCAGTTAGTTGTTATCTTTTGTGTCCGTTACTCAAATGCTTTTGTTTTTCTTTTGTCGGTGAGTTTGGAAATTTCAGGGAGAAATCTAGAAATCCTCAACATGAATTCAGCAGGATGGCA